AGTAATAATAATGCTTTACACTTCCTAGTCGCGTTATATATTATTAATTGAATAGTCTTCAGGATATATGAAAATTTTGGAAATTTCTTTATTTATTAAATTGTCACGATTGTCAACTTGTCATTCTTTTTTCTCTTTTTTTCTTTTATTAAAGCGACGATGATATTTATAAATTCTATTCTCGAAGATGATATTTATAAATTTGGTACATTTGGCTGTAATGCAATTAGATTGGTGCATGTTGCAAATCTATTCGATACATTTTGACAAAGAATGTTCACACAAATTTGTACTTTCGAAAATAAATATTATAGAAAGCACTTTGGTGTTAATTTTGTACATTTTTTTCACATTACACACGGTGGCATTTTGCACGTTTAAATTTCCTGCAAACGCATAGAAACACGCAGTTGACCGAGCTCAATTGTTCGAGCAGGTCGCGTCATTTGCAATTGTAAGTTGGCACGATCATGACGCTGCTTATGACTATGAGATACACTATGATGAGGACGTCTCTTCTTCTCCCAGCTCCTCGAGCAAGATTATTCGAACCTAGATGTTAATCCGTCCTCGAGAGAGCGAGTCGAGGGTGCTTCTTGTCTCTGGAAACTCTTTCTGCCCGTGGAGTTTCTCGCACATCTCGCCTGAAATCAAAGTCTCTCTCGAACTGCAGACGCGGAGGATATATTATTAAGTATTCAGCGAGTAGAGACAAATTACCGAAGACTGCCGCGTGAAATTTCAAACTTTTCTCATGAAACAAGTTCGCGGGCGTGAATCGTTCCAACGGCGGAGGGTTCTTCGTCCCGGAATTTACCAGGCAAGATACCCTCGCGTTTCCCCGCCACTGTTAATCGCCGGTCTTTTAGTTTCTGTTCGACAAAGGAGGGCAGAGGGAGAGAAAAGATATGAAAAATGAAAATTCTTTGATCGGACTTCGATCATTGAATTCGTCCATTGGGAACAATTTCTGTCTTCTAATCTAATTTACCACGTGAACGTTGATGTATAAATGGATTGTCTACTCCCTTAATGTAATTTTTTGTATATTAGCATCGTGGTCAACATTTCACTTCGTTGCATCGAAGTTCCAAGTCTTGTCAGAAATTATGGTCCTTGTTTTGACGCACGGCCGATCGATTTATGATAAAACAATTGAACACCGAAGCTTCAAACTTTAAATCAGATACATACCACTTAAAAACACTTTCAGTCGGGTCCTTTTCATTTTTCAAAACATTCTGCTCGAACTTATTTTTACACATTTCTGCTTATGTAAAAAGAAAAATACCTGTTTTTGTGAAATTTTTGTAGAAAGAAGTGTCACACTTTCGAACAGTGTTCTGATAGAACTTTTATAAACGATGCGATAAAAATTCCATAAAAACAAGTTGTTTTAGGAACAACCAAAATTTAGTTAGAAAATTCATTTTTATATAATTGAGCGTCAGTATCTTTGCAGTGTGACTGCAAATGTACTATTCTCCTATTCGAAACTCTTATTTCTAAGAACATTTATTTATCCACTCTCGTCGGGACTCGTGGTATAAAAACATATTTCGAGAAAGTTCTACGATCCACGTATCAAATAGAACCTATTTGGAAATTCCTTGAAACTTTCACGATCCCCTTCTCTCGATCTAGAAGAGATCTCTAACAAATGATGTCACACGCAACTTTTATGTCGAATTTTCGAATGTCGCGGTACGCCAGATTGAAATTCGTAAATTTGTCTTTCGAGCCACCGAACCACGTTCGCGATTCGGGGATCTAACAAAGCTTGCTTGACATAAGGAATGATGCACTGTTAATGTTGCACGCGCTAATGAAACGAACTGGATCGATTAGGGAAGAACCGAGCCGCTTGCTCGTTCGTTAGCCCGCGGATCTTCCTTCCGAGAGAAAAATTGCGAACTATCGCGTACTATAGCGTAGTGGTGCTCACGTCCGTCGTTATCCCCACCAATTCTTCGAACTGAGATTATCCCCACCAATTCTTCGAGCTATCCCCACTCTGCGCTCACCTTACCATTATGATTGTTCGGACACACATCGATCAAAGTTCGAGGCAAATTTTATATTAAATAACAAATACATATCCAATTTATACGATTATAGAATCATACTACGTGCTAATTGTTAATTTAATATCGATGAAAATGTAACGATACCTTTATACAAGGTTTCCATTCCAATTATTGATAATTATCTTGATAATTAACATCTTCTTACTTTCGTAGGAATTTCAGCAAATTTCCGAGAAATTTAGATCGATTGCAATCATTCGATAATTATTGCTTTATTCGACAATTTAATGCTTTACTTAGTTTAAGAGTATAGTATGTATTAAATTTAAAATAGTTTAAATGTACTTGGTTTAAATAAAATGGTTAAATTTCTTTGCAATCGAATAATGTAGTAAACAATACTGAAATTCGTCGTGCCTGGTGTCGATATAAAAGGCACGACGCTCATCGCCACCCTTTTTTCCGGCGCCAGTACGCCACCTCTCCTAAGTGTCCGATTTCAACCCCGACTCTGGACGCTTAAAAGGGCACTACTCTATCTGTTCTTGCATTCGAACGAATATTACGTGATTACACCTGTTCTCAAAATATTGATTTCTCGCTCACAGGATTAATATTGCCCAGAATTTTTAATTCACTGTTATTTAGCACGGTTTGTAATTGCCTTGCGATTTCTGGCAACGTTCGACGAGAAAGATAAGAAAAATTGTAATCTACTACGTAGATTCATTTTGAATTGTGTGAGAAAAACACAAATATTTATACATTCACGTAATCCGACAAAGACCGTGTTGCTCGCTCGATTTGCTCAGTAGTTCGCATAGAATCCAATTCAATTCGCCTGTACTTCCTGTTTACCTGTTTTATGATCGACCTTCAATATGGATTCCATAGTACTGTCGACTTTCTTTACAATTGTTTTTGTTCTTTTTAAATTTTTCAATGGTCATAGACTGTATTTATCTCTATACTCGATTTTGGTAACGAAATTCGACGAAATTCGATTGTTGATTTTGGCGAATACAACTCAATCGGATCGAACACTCAAAAGCCGGGTGATTCCAGTTTGAGCTCGTTTCGATTCTCAATGGTCGAGCGGAGAGGATCGACATTCAGTAAAAAGTGGCTAGCAATTGAATATCCGATTTAATGACAAATGATAACTTCGTTCTTCGACGAAAGGAGTAAAGAAATAAGTAGAAGAACGACTTTCTCCGAGATGAAGCAAAAAAAAAACGAAGCCTCTAAAGGACCTCTTTTTTTCTTGGTTTATCGATTCTTTACATGATGCCCAAGTTTTGACACCCTATATAACCATCAAAAACACCTTTCAATGAGACGTTTAATCGTCATAAACATCTTTCATATTTTCACCAAAAAAGAAAAAAGAATTATTATTAGTA